TTTCTCAACAGAAACTTTGCAGGCCAGAAAGGATTGGCAAGAAATACTCAAAGTGATGAATAGCAATGACCTACAACCAAGATTACTCTACCCAGCAAAGCTATCATTTAGATTGAAGGTCAGATAAAGAACTTCAGACAAGAAAAAGCTAATCACCAAACCAATATTACATGAAATGGTGGAAGGTATTTTTGAAGAAGGAGGAGGAGGAGGAATAAGAGGAGGAGGGAGAGAAATAGGAGGAGGAAGGAAGGGGGAAGGGGAGGAGGGGGGAAGGGGGAGGAGGAAGAGAGAACAAAGAAGTAGAAGAAAAAATATGAACAATAAAATGGCAATAAATACATATCTACCAATAATTCAATCTAAAAATCAAAATAAACAAGAAATCTTATGGGGGGAAAAAACAATGAATAAAATAGAACTAGAGGCGTGGAAACATAGAACAGACTGACGAATCTCAGAAAGAAGAGGGGTTGATGGCGGGAAGAGATCAACCAAAGGTCTTATATATATATATGTATGCATTATCTATGGACACGGAAAATAGGGTGGTGAAGGTCTAGTTGGTTGGGAACTGGGTGGAGGGGGCAACGGTGGGAAAAAAGGGGGACATCTGTAATACTCTCAACAATAAGCATTTTTTTTAAATAAATAAAAAAAAATAGCCCAGCTGGCATGGCTCAATGGTTGAGCATCAACCTATGTACAAGGAGGTCACAGTTCTATTCCAGTCAGGGTACATGCCCAGGTTGCGGGCTCAATCTCCAGTTTGGGGCATGCAAGAGGCAGCCGATCAATGATTCTGTGTCATCGTTTATGTTTTTATCTCTCTCTCCCTCTCCCTTTCTGTCTGAAAGAAAACATAAAATAAAAATGAAATAAAAATGTTTAAGAGCTGTGGTACATTTACACCATGGAATACTATGCAGCAGTAAAAAAGAAGGATCTCTTACCCTTTGAGACAGCAAGGAGGGAGCTGGAAATTATTATGCTAAGCAACATAAGCCAGTCAGAGAAAGGCAAGTATCACATGATCTTGCTTATATGTGGAATCTAATGAACAAAATAAACTAATGAACAACATTGAAGCAAATAACAGACTGTGAAATCTTAGAGGGAAGGCAGGGGAGTGTGGGAAGTGATCAACTAAAGAACTTGCATGCTTATATGCATAACCCATGGATACAGACAATAGGGTGGTGACGGCCAGGGGAGGGGGTCCAAGGTGTGATAAAAGGGGGTCAATGGGGAAAAAGAGGGACATATGTAATACTTTCAACAATAAAGATTTTTAGAAAATAAATTTTAAAAAATAAATTTTGGGGCTCTATTTAAATGTTCCATTTGCACAATTTTCACAATAGATAATTTCACTTGCATACTCTTATTAATTTACAACATCTTTCCTTGTTCTAGTTTGTTCACCTTCAAATTTATTTTCTAACAAGTAACCTCACTGCCTTGAATCAGAAGATTAAGTAGTATATATAAGCATCTACAGAAAATATTCCATTGCTACTTTTTTTGGGGGGTGGGGGGTAATTACTCATGTTGAGACCTATAAAATTCATAATTATCATAAACATCCTAAAGGCTAATACACCACTTTATTTGGCAGCTTATCTAATAACCTAAATAGGAATGAATATAATTGCTGACAGTCAACCAACTGCGATATCCAAAAATATATTTTGAAATTTCTCATCAAATGATAAAATGTAACACTTATGGTATTATAATATGTGGACTCTGAGAAGGGACATGGTTCTGAAATGGGAGTCTGGTGCTCTTCGTTCTGGATCAGTCTTATCACTAGTATGTTCTGTGACCTACCTTTGGCAAGTCACTTCTACCTCTTTGAACCTCAGTTTCCCCATCTGTAGAATGGAAGGGAGAATGCTTAGACTAGCTTATTTTGGGGTCTCTATTTCCCGAGAGAAGCTGATAAAAAGCTACAGAACCTATTACCACAAATGTATGTTTGCACCCAAAAATTTTCTTACATTTTTTTTTCTGCTATCCATCATGGACTTCCTAAGTCTTGGATGAAAAGATGTCTGGGGATTGTTCTACACATTAAAACTTCTGATTTTCATGAAACATACCAAAAGAAAAAACTAAGCAAAAATATTGTGAAAGACATCATTACTTACTTTGAATCCCAAAACATATTAAGAGCTATAATATATAACAAATGTCTGTAAACAAGGTTTCTTCAGATAGATACCTATCTGACCCACAGGTGGATAAATGAAAAAAACCACCCATTCTCCTTTTTCATATTCTAATGCTTAATAAATGAAGGGCATTTAACAATCTTAGCTACCCCCAAATGAATTAATTTTCCTGCTTTCTAGTCCCACTACCCTATAGGTTAAGAACCACAGACTGGTAACAGACAGACCTGAACTGGAGTCCTTGCTCTACCACTTCCCTTGCAAATTTAAGTCCATTACTTAGCATCTACATGTTTGAATCCCTTAGTCTATAAAATGAAAATAGAAATAACTCCTAAAATTACTGAGGTAAAACATGCAAAGTGCTTGGCATAGTGCCTCACACACAGTAAACACTTAATAAATGTGAGCTATTATTATTAATAAATTGAAATGCTGTTATTATAACTGAGAAATACACATTTTTTAATAGTAAGTAGAAATTTCTAAAACAGAATCTTCTATTTTCAGTAACATTTTTTCCCATACTCTTCCCTGGAAAGATTAAAAGTGTAAACGGCTACCTATTAGACGTATGTATGAAGTGGTGAGGTAGAGTAGAAAGAAATCCAGCTTTAGAGCCAGGTAGGTCTCAGTTGTAGACCAAATTCAGTGGCTCAGTAATTATGTAATCCAGGCCATGTAAACTCTCTCTCAATCTTGTAAAGCTATTGCAAGAAGTACTAAGTATGTAAAGCATCGAGCACAGTATCTGGCATGTAGTATGCACTCAATAAACATCATTTATGACTATTCTAAGCTACCCTTCATAAGTGACAAAACCAGCTTTGCCAGAGAAGAGGAAAAGCATAGGCAAGCACAAATCCAAATATACAGGCCAATGATGGACACTCATTTTCTCTTATCCATGGAAGAGAAGAGAAGAGAAGAGAAGAGAAGAGAAGAGAAGAGAAGAGAAGAGAAGAAGAGGTTTGGGGTTCACATACTCCTTCCAGAGGCTAATGAAAATGGAGCTCCTAGAAAACTAACCAGTATTTCAGGAAATTCTCTATGTAAGGGATCTTAAAAACCTTTTAGTAGGAAGGAGACTAGTGCCCCACTGATGTTGCTCAATGGTTGAACGTCAACCTATGAACCAGGTCATCGTTTCATTCCCAGTCAAGGCACATGACCAGGTTTCGGGCTCCATCCTTAGTAGGGAGCATGCAGGAGGCAGCCGATCAATGATTCTCTCTCACTGATTTTTCTATCACTCTCTCTCTTCTCTGAAATCAATTTTTTCTATTTTTTAAATATATTTTTATTGACTTCAGAGATGAAGGGAGAGAAACGTCAATGATGAGAATCACTGAAGCTGCCTCCTTTACGACCCTATGAGAATGGAAATCAATTTTTTTTTTCTTTTAAAGAGGAGACTAGGTAGCTTTTTCTGGACTTACTAGCAAGAATCTGAAAACGTTATCTACTCAGTCTTGTGACCAAATGATGCATTTAACTTTGCTCAGATTGTACCAAGTAAATCTTTCCTTTTTATTAAACTTCTCAATTTCATGACCTATCTGGTGTTGTATGGGAAAACAAATCTTGGTAAATGAAACCACAAGCTGTGCTAGAATTAGGTCAAATGTTTTTAAATGTGTTGTCCGAACACATAACCCAAACACAGAACCAAAAGGAAAAGGAAAAAAAAATAGTCCAGCTCTGGCCGGGTATCTCAGTTGATTAAAGCATTGTCCAGATACCCAGATATGCCAAGGTTCCGGGTTGGATCCCAGGGTCAGGGCACACACAAGAATCAACCAATGAATGCATAAATGGGTGGAACAACAAATTATGTTTCTTCTCTTCTTCTCTCTCTCTCTCTCTCTCTCAAATCAATAAGATAAAATAGACGTCCAAAAGGATAACAAACCTGACTGCATTCAATTCTTAGAAAAGCCGAATCAATTAAAGGAGTCAAATGAGCCTCAAAATTCCAAAAATAAAAATAAAAATCTACAAACACGGACGTCATTTAAAAAACAAAACTGAGCCATGGCCAGGTAGCTCAGTTATAGCGTGGTGTACAGCACGGTTTCCGTTTGGATCCCGGTAACAGAACATACAAGAATCAACCAATCAATAAGTGGAACAAATCTGTTTTCTTTCTCTCTCTCTCTCTCTCTCCTTCACTCTAAAATCAATGAAAAGTTTTGAAAAGTAAAAAATAAATAAAAAACAAAACTGAACCAGCAAATACAGTTTACCGAGTAAAGGAATATAGCTTATCCTTTTTTATCCTTATACTTCCCAAATTCCCTGTAACGTAGAGTCAGAATAAAGTGGACGCGCGACCCAAGGAGCGAACCGGAAAAACGTTTGGCCCCAATGACCTTGGTCCCAAAGAGTCGCCTCCCTCCCGCGGCCGCCCTACCACGTGCCGGCGCTGCGGGGGCCCCGAGGCGTCTGCAGGCCAGGGATGCACTTGGGAGCACGAGGCTGCAGGGCGCGGGGGTGCCAACAGCGCGGGGCCGGGCCGAGCCTCGCTTCCTCCCTCCGGCCCCCACATCCCAGCGGCGCTCAAGGCCCGGCGCCCGGCTCCCCACTCACGCTGCGCGCAGTTTGGGGGAACCCCGCGAGCGGCTCGGGAAGCCCAGTCCGGCAACTGCACGTCCCCGGGATAGACAGCCCCAGGATGGGGGTCCAGCAGCAGGACAGCCGCAGGAGACTCCTGTGCTCCGCCGCCACGCCGCCTCCCTCGCGGGCTCCCAGGCGGGCGGGCGGGCGCGGCGGGGCCGAGGGGTGGAGGGTAGCGCGGAGGCTGGGGCGGGGCGGCGCGCTCACCATGAGAACTTTGGCCGCGTTCTCCAGCTGGGCGATCACTTCTGGGGGCCCAAGTGCCGCCGCCATCATGGTCTCTCTTCAATGACGCGCCATCCGGTGCATTCTGGGAGCGGCGCCGCGGCCGGCCAATCGACGGACGGCCCGCCCCTCGCGCTCCCCAGGCGGCTCCAGGCGATGATGGAGGCAGGGAGGCGGAGCGAGGACGGTCGGGCGTGGGGCGCCGCGCTGAGGACCGATACGGGTGGAGATCCGGCGGCTGGGGCGGGGCGGGGAATGGGGTCCGGAATGGGACTGGGGAACAGGGACAAGTACTGGGCGCCCGCTGCTGGTCCCGCGGCGCCTTGTCACTGACCCTGAGTGACCCTGAGTCCCCGGCGCCGCGCGGACCTCCGCCGTCCCTCGTCCACGCCGCGCTCTGCGCGGGGGAACCTTCTGTGAACGGGATCTCCAGGTGCGTCCCCCGGGCCCTAGAACGTGCGCCCGGCGGCCCGGCCTTCATCCCTCGACCACAAGAGCGCGCTGAGGCGGGCCCTGCGGAAGGCGGCGTCCAGATGCGTTCACACCGCGGGCTGCTGACACCCAGCAAAAAAGCCGGTCCTTCTCTTTAGCCAAGGCTCTCAGTCCACATGGAGGGGAAGCGGGGACCCGGGCTACCTACCTGCTTCTCTCACCAAGTGAGAGCTCGCAGCCTCCGGGCCGCCAGCCATGTCGCGTTCACGGGTTTCATCTTGTTAATTCTGGGTCCCTGTGGGAAGGCCATTGAGTCGCCAGTAACACCCCTCACCCTCGGTCACTCTGCTTTACAACGTTCAGGCACGTGGTCCTGAGAAAGCGGACTCAGCATTCACACAAACTGGTCTGGGGGTGTATTTCGTTTACAGCCCATATTCCTGTTCCTATAACTTTGGTTAGTGCTTTGCTGCTGCTCCGCTTCCTGGGGCTACACAGTGAGGAAAGAATGAAGATAGGGAATATAGAAACGGGTCACTTTAACCAAGCTGCTAAAAATTATTAACTTTAGGAAGGTTGAAGCATGAGGAAAGACTCCCTTCTTGTTCTAACTAGCCTGGGAACTCAAACCTTTTGAACTTTTCAGTCTTGGGTCAGTGCCTTAATGTACATCTGGACGTACACCAGACCTCCAGACAGCCCTCTGATTACCTCCCTGAAGGACTCACATATCCAGACTATGGGACCCAACCAGACCTGGTGTCCATTGTCCAGGACACCTGACTGACTGACTGATAACGCCCTGGACCAATCCTAGGGCTAAGAATGCAGGACTGGTAATTCTCAAGAGTGCACTTTTTTCTGTAAGAAAACTTTTCTTTCTTTTTTGGAATACTTCTGGGGTTTTGCCCACCTGTATTCCACATTTTCGAACTCCTAAGATCCTTGAAAAAAATCCTTATCATTTATTTCTAGCCAAAGCCTCCAGATTTTTTTTTAGTTCTCTTGACAAGAGAAAGTTAAATTTATTTCAGGGTTTTTAAGTTTCCTCTGTTGAAATCTTCCTCTAGTTCTTCTTCCTGGTTATAAGTAAGTCACACTTTTGAGGTTTGTTTTTTCAGAGGAAGGGAGAATCATTGAAGGACCCTCCTGCGGGCCCCTCACTATGGACTGAGGCCAAAACCAGGCATGTGCCCTGACTGGGAATAGAGCCATGACTTCCTGGTTCATAGGTCAATACTCAACCACTGAGCCACACTGGCTGGGTGAGGGTGTGTTTTTTTATGTCACTGCAGGAGAATTGCATAAAAAACAGGGGTTTTCATTTGGCATTTCCACAACTTAAAGTTGACAAAGTGATTTAATTTTTAAAGCATGAACCCTGGCCGGTTTGGCTCAGTGGATAGAGCGTCACCCTGCGGACTGAAGGGTCCCAGGTTCGATTTCGGTCAAGGGCTCGTACCTCGGTTGCAGGCTCCTGGCCCTGGTCGGGGTGCATGGGGGAGGCAACCAATCCACATTTCTCTCTGTCTCACCCTCTCCCTTCCACTCTCTAAAAATCAATGGAAAAATATCCTCAAGTGAGGATTTAAAAATAAGTAAATTTTTATTGCTTGAGAAACAAAGTAACTTTCATTTCACTACAGAAGGACAAAGTGAACCAAAATGCAGTTAGTGGCCTTTTATATTTTAAGAATTGTGTGAAATGAAGTGGTTAAGGTAATGACACAGTAGCCTGGCCAAGAGGTCCCTGATTCAATTCCTGGTCAGGGCACATTGCCTGGGTTTCAGGCTCGATCCTTAGTAGGGAGTATGCAGGAGGCAGCTAATTGACATTTCTCTCTCATTGATGTTTCTATCTACCTCTCCCTCTCTCTAAAATCAATAAAAACATTTTTTAAAAGATAATGACACAATATTTGACTAAATGTTTCTAGCTGTTACAAAGAATAATTATGGCAGAAGTGTAGACAAATGAATAGTTTGTGACATTGAAGATTTGAGGCTTATAATGCTTCAGATTGGGCTGTCTGTTCCAAAGCATTTGTTTGTGCAATTACATAAGAAATTTGCATCTAGCCACAAGGAAGAAGGAAAAGTATTTTACCAAATGTGAGAGTGAGTGTCCTTACAAATTAACAGTATTTTGAATTTGAGGTGTTACAAACATCTCAGATAACTGGGAACCATGAATGTTAGGGCAAACATTGAAGTTGTGGAATATTAATGTTGGAAACACTAAAATTTATCTACTGCCCTAACCGGTTTGGCTCAGTGGATAGAGCATCGACCTGCAGACTGAGGGGTCCCAGGTTCGATTCCAGTCAAGGGCATGTACCTTGGTTGCGGGCACATCCCCAGTAGGAGGTGTGCAGGAGGCAGCTGATTGATGTTTCTCTTTCATCGATGTTCCTAACTCTCTATCCCTCTCCCTCTCCCTTCCTCTCTGTAAAAAATCAATAAAATATATTTTTAAAACATTTATCTACTAACCTCCCCTCCAAATGCCTGGCTCTTACTTCTTGATTTACTGTTTAACAAAAACACTCTCTGGTGGCGGGGGGAACAAGTAGTATTGCAGTCCAATGTGCTTCATATCCTAAAATAGAAGAAAAAAGAAAGTTGTGCAAATTACAATAATTTCTCATGAGGCATGAAAGAAATGTTTCTGGTCTAGGAAAGGGTAGTTGCCTGGTTGAAATGTTCCTGAAATCAAGAATGTTTCACAAATACATCCCCTAGTACTTTTAAGGTACTCCTTTAACAACTATGATGTTGATGAGAAGAATTGAGATGTGCTAAATTAAATTACAGCCCAAGGCTGGAGAGTAGAGAGAGACAAGAGTAATTAACCAGTTAATAGCTATGCACCAATTAGCAGTAAGACTGCTCACATTCCTGAATGTATGTTGAAGCTTTGAATCAACTTATTCAGTGACTACCATATCCCACACATGCCGTAACCAATCAAAAGTAGTAAATATTGCCCATGCAGTTTTTGCTCAGTGGTTAGAGCATTGGCCCTCGCAACTGAAGCATCTCAAGTTCAATTCCCAGTCAAGGGCACGAACCTTTCCCACCCACCCTTATCTGTAGTCAGTGGAAATTCTTTCGAAACAACTGACATCTTCCCGAACTTAATGTATAAAAATGCCCAGGAGGGCGAAACATGTTTCTCTTCCCCATCTCACCTTTCTGCTGGTGGTTTAGATTATATACCCCAGAACTTGGTCCTTTTCTGGCTAGCATAAATCCTTTCTTCGAGAAAAGTTTTCTGTGTGAAGGTTTTTTGTTTAACAATGCCATGTGCTCCAAAATTATTGCTACTTTATTCTTCACCAAAAGTGATTGAGTATCCAAAACGACCGAAGCTCAACTGACCAGAAGTCAGTCCTGCAGTCAGTGCTGGGTTGCCGTGGCAACCCAGCACTGACTGCCGAGGGGGCTGCAGATCAGGCCCAGAGAGACACCTGGAGAGAGAAGCAGGGTCTGATCTGTAGCCTCTGTGGCAGCTGTTGATCAGCCCTTGCCTCTCTCTCTCTCCGGGCCTGGCCAGCAGCTGCGCCTCTCTTTCTCTCCGGGCCTCTGTGGGGGCTGCTGATCAGCCCCGCCTCTCTGATCAGGCCCGGAGATGCTGACTGGCATAGAAACTAACCAATCAGAACCAAATCTGGGTGAACTGTGAGGAGCCAATGGCTGCATAGGAGGCGGAGCTTTTGACGCTGACTGGCAAAGAAACTGACCAATCAGAACCAAATCTGGGTGAACTGTGAGGACCCAATGGCTGCCTAGGGGGCAGAGCTTTTGATGCTGACTGGCATAGAAACTGACCAATTAGAACCTAATCTGGGTTAACTGCGAAGGCAGAACCTAAGGTGGGGGCTGAGGAGGGGTTTTAAGGGCAACAATGGTTTGGTGTAAGATGTAAGAAAGCAGTTCAATTTTTTAATGACCAGTTTGGCAATATAGTGCATATGGCTGGCTATCAGTCCAGATATAGGGATTATGTATTTTTGTCTGCCAAGAGCATCTCCTCCTGCTGAAAAAGGCTCCCCCCCCCCCCAATTTAAGCAATCCTATATAATCTATCTATACTAGAGTCTTACTGCTAATTGGTGCACAGCTATTAACTGGTAATATGCTAATTAGATCAGGTCTACTGGCCATCTTCCAGACGTCCGACTTCCTTCCGGACAAACCCATGGTGGTGGGGGCCGAGGCAGAGGCAATTAGGGGCGATCAGGCCGGCAGTGGAGGACAGTTGGGGGCAAGATCAAGCCAGCAGGGGAGGGCAGTTAGGAGCGATCAGGCAGACAGAAGCAATTAGGGGTCATCAGGCCAGCAGGGGAGAGCAGTTGGGGGTGAGATCAGGCCGGCAGGGGAGGGCAGTTAGGGTCGATCAGGCAGGCAGGCAGAGGCAGTTAGGGATGATCAGGCAGGCAGGCAGAGGGGTTAGGGGCAATCAAGCAGGCAGGCAGAGGCAGTTAGGGGCGATCAGGCAGGCAGGCAGGTGAGCGGTTAGGAGCCAGCACTCCAAGATTACGAGACGGATGTCCAAGGGCTCCCAGATTGGAGAGGGTGCAGGCTGGGCAAGGGATTCCCCCTCCCCCACCCCCACCCCCCCGCACAAATTTCGTGTACCCGGCCACTAGTGTAATATAATGACCTGGGAAAAATATCAACTGTAAG